CCATGTTCTATGTCAGCAGACAGGGAGGAGCTCAATCATTGGCCCTTTGTCAGGAAGCCCATGAGCTGTGGGACTTCTGTATCCAACATGCTATCCACCTGGAAGCCTCACACCTCCCCGGCATCAGGAACATGCTGGCGGATCGCCTCAGCAGGTCCTTTTTCTCTCACCACGAGTGGTCCCTCCACTCAGAGGTAGTCAGGATGCTCTTCCAGAAGTGGGGAGCTCCCCTAGTGGACCTGTTGGCCACCAAACAGAAAATGTCACCAGTTCTGCTCTCTGCAAGGCCTTGACAATGGCTCACTATCCAATGCCTCCCTCCTGTCGTGGTCAGGCGACCTGATGTATACCTTCCCACTAGTCCCACTGATCGGCAAGGTCCTCTTGAAGATCAAGAGGGACAAGTCATTATGATCGCCCCAGTTTGACCTCGCCAGCATTGATTCAGCATGCTCATGGACTTAGCAGTGGCAGCCCTGTGGACACTTCCCAGCCACCTGGACCTGCTCTCTCAGAATCACGGACGATTACTATACCCGAACCTCACCTCTCTCTACCTCACAGTGTGGTTGCTGAGTGTCTGAACGCTGAGGAACAAGCCTGCTCTAGTCAGTTGCAGCAGGTCCTCTGGGAGAGCAGAAAGCCCTCTACCAGGGCGACATACCTGGCAAAGTGGAAGTGCTTCTCCTGATGGGCATTGGAGCGGAATATCTCTCCAATCCAGTCGTCTCTACAATCCATCCTAGATTACCTTCTTCACTTAAAGCTTAGATTACCTGCTTCACCAGGGCCTTGCATGTTCATTGATCAAGGCCATATCAGCCTTCCACCCTCATGTCCAGGAGTAGATTGGTATTCTCACACGAGATGATGATCAGGTTCATGAAAGGCCTTGAAAGACTTTTTCCACTGGTTTGGGACCCAGTTCCCCAGAGGGATCTCAACCTAGTCCTCTCCAGACTCACTGGCCCTCCCTTCAAACCTCTGGCTTCCTGCTTGTAGAGGAGCGGGACTCACCCCTGCGGCGCCTCCTGCTGGTGACTCCGGGAATTAGCTCTTCCAGCGTCCTGGAGCGCCCTCTGCAAGCTGGTGATCCGCCTGTTCTCCGGCCCCCGTGTCCCTCCCGGACCCCGGTGCCCTTTTATCTGGGGTGCTGCCCCCTGGCAGTACACCCCTCAGTACTAGGGTCTCCCCTCCCCAGGGAACCCCCACTCATTATCCCTACCTCACTTCAGAATAAGGCCACTGTCAGTCACCAACTAGCCCCCGCTCCCTGGGGCAGACTGCGGTATAGGCCACTCATCACAGGCAAGGTTGGGTTTGGACCTGCTGCCTTGGCCTACCCCAGGCTGCCCTCTGCAACCCCCAGTACCCCTTGGCCTCCTACTAGGCTGCAGCCTGGGACTTTCCAGGCTGGAGCTCCCCAGCTCCTCAGCCTTTCCCCAGCCCTGCTCCACTCAGGTACTTTGTCTCTAGCTCCCTGCAGCCAGGCCCTTCTCTCCCTGAACGCAGAGAGAGACTGTCTCTAGCTCATGCAGCCAGGCCCTTCTCCCTCTGAAAGCAGAGAGAGACTGCTGAGCTCCTGGCTCCCAGCCTCTTATACAGGCCAGCTGTGGCCTGACTGGGGCATGGCCCAGCTGTGGCTACTTCCCCAATCAGCCCAGCTTTTAGAGCTGCAGCCCTCTGCCAGGGCTGTTTTAAGCCCTTCCAGGCAGGAGCAGGGTAACCACCCCGCTACACTGCTCCCTTTCACACCTGTCATGGAAGGTTGCATTCCTTGTAGCTATTACCATGGTGAGGTGAGTCTCTGAGATTAAAGCCCTCACATCAGAGCTGCTGTACATGGTGTTCTACAAGGATAAGGTCCAACTGCATCCCCATCCGGCCTTCCTGCCAAAAGTGGTGTCACAATTCCATGTCAACCAGGATATCCTCCTGGTGTTCTGTCCAAAGCCTCACACATCCAACGAGGAGAGGCATCTGCACACCCTTGACATCAGGCGTGCCCTGGCTTTCTACCTGGAGCGCACCAAGCCCTTCCACAGATCTACTGAACTCTTCATTGCTGACAGGATGAAGGACCTCCCAGTGTCTTCTCAGAGGATTTTGGCTTGGATCACCACCTGCATCCGTACTTGCTACGAGATAGTGCAGGCTGTGCCTCTACCGATAGTGACGGCTCATTCCTCAAGGGCTATCCAGGACAACTGTAGAGCCACAAAGTGGTCATTGGTACACACGTTCACGACGCACTATGCCATCACCCAACAGGCCCAAGATGATGCTGGCTTTGGCAGAGCCATGTCCATGAACTCCTACCTGCCTCTGGAGGTACTGCTTGGGAGTCACCTACAATGGAATGGACATGAGCAATCACTTGAAGAAAAGATGGCTACCTTTCATAACTGTTGTTCTTTGAGATATGTTGCTCATGTCCATTCCATGACCCACCCTCCTTCCCCTCTGTCGGAGTTCTGGGAAGAAGCAACCGAAGGGGGGGGCGGCAGCAGTGCCCCTAATACCAGCACATACGTGCGCTACTCCAGAGGGTGCCAGAGCCGGTCCCCTACGGATACCACTGAGGGAAAAACTTCCGGCACTGGTGCATGCGGTGAGCACACACACCTACAATGGAATGTAGATGAGCAACACATCTTGAAGAACAACAGTTACGAAAAGTTACCCTCTTTTTCTCGTTCCTACATGTGTGACCTTGCATTTGGCTGTGTCAAAACATGTTTTGTTTGATTGGACCTGGCTTACCAAGCAATCACGGTCACACTCTATCAGTGACCTGTTGCTGTCATTATTTACCACCTCACCCAGCTTTGTGTCATCTGCGAACTTTATCAGCAATAAGCTTATACTTTATTCCAGAGTATTGATAAAAATATTGAGCAGCGTAGGGTTGAGAACCAATTCAAACAGGACCCCTCTGGAAACACAACTCACTGATGTTTCCCCGGTAATAATGAAAGACCAGATTCTAAGATGGTGAAAAGTGGCATAGCTCCGTTTAAGACAATGTGTCCACATCAGTTTACACCAGCTTGTTGTGGCTTAGCGGCAGGGTTCCTCCCTCTCCGAGTCCATGGGAGGCCACCCTGCCTCACTACGTCTCAGCATGTCGCCTACCGTGGGGAATTAGTGGGGCAACAAGAGTCTATAGCTTCGGTCTGTGTTCAAGGGGGTGAGCAACAGACACAGTCAGGTAGCCCAGGCCCTTAGTCAGGACAGGGTAATGAGTCTATAGCTCGGGCCTGTGGTCAGGGCTGAGCAAAAAGTGGAGTTAGCTAGCCCTGGGCCCTCAGTCAGGGCAGGGCAATCAAGGTCTATGGCTCGAGCCTGTGTTCAGGGCCAAGCGGCAATGGGTTCAGGCATCCTATCTCCTGTGGATGGCCGACAAACTCTGGCCTCTTGGCCGAGAAAGGGGGAGACTGGCACCCCGGAGTTGGGGTGGCAGGGGAGGACACAGGCCCACCCACTCCACTGCGTCCCGGCCCAGGGCCCTAACAGTGGAAGAGAGGTCTGCCACGGGGTCAGCAGGGATCCTGACTGCAACATGCTGACCTAAGCTCAGGTAGTGCTGCAGCCAGACTAGGGTCAGCTGTCCCTGGGCTACTTCCTAACTCCCCCTCGGGTTGTACCTAGGTCTGTAAAGGGCTCTCCAAGTCGTCAGGGTAGAAGACCTGTGGCAGTCCTGGCAACTTTTCCATGGGCTGGGCAACATTTGGCTCCGGAGTCCCTGGCCAGTCCTCAGCTCCCCAGGGGCCTGCAGCAGTCTCCCAGCTGGGGAGCGAGCAGGAGGCGACTGTCTCCTCCGGCGGCTGCAGCCCAACTGAGCTCCCAGACCCGCTTTTTCTACTTCCTGTCCCGTCCCGTCCACTGACTTCCAACGGGATGGGTGAGCACAGCCTGACTCCGTTCACCAGGGCTCAGTGAGGGGTTCCTCCCCCTGCGGAACCGTGGGAGGCCACCCCGCCTCACTACACAGCTGAAGAACTGCACTGTGTTTTGAGATCTATCAGTTAGTAGTATTTGATCGATTTAATAGGGACCATATTGATTTTTGTATAGTGTTATTTTTAATTAGAATGTTGTGTTGGCTATTTCTGCAGCAGTTAAATCATTCTGCAGTGGAAAAGATTTTGGCTCCTATACAGGGTCTTTCATTCTTGAGGCATCTAATTAGATACTGCTAATGGAGTAGCTGCTAGGGAACACTGCAGTAGTCATGTGTTTACAGTAGCTTGCACACAGACTTTCAACATTAGCATCTGTTTTATGAGGTGATGGAACGTTAGTCAGGGTGTCATGCTTTATTCACTATATTTGTTAAAGTTCCCTTGAGCTTTACGTTTTACCGGTGATAGCCACCTGCGACTGACAGAAAGCAGTGGGCTTAACAACTCTTCTTCCCAAAATGGCACTTCTTAAAGCGAAGCAGCCATTTTCTCCCCTTCCCCCTAAGTCAGTGTTTCCCAAACTTTAGACGCCGCTTGTGTAGGGAAAGCCCTTGTTTACCTGCCCCGTCCGCAGGTTTGGCCGATTGCGGCTCCCACTGGCCGTGGTTCGCTGCTCCAGGCCAATGGGAGCTGTGGGAAGCGGCGGCCAGTACGTCTCTTCGCCCGCGCTGCTTCCAGCAGCTCCAATTGGCCTGGAGCAGCGAACTGCGGCCAGTGGGCTCCGCGATCAGCCAAACCTGCGGATGGGGCAGGTAAACAAACCGGCCCGGCCCGCCAGGGGCTTTCCCTACACAAGCGGTGTCCCAAGTTTGGGAAACACTGCCCTAAGTAATTTATAGCCTTATTGTCAGACTTGGGCATAAACCCAGCTGTTGGACTTGAATCTGTGATCACCTGTCTCAGATTTGTGCTGCAAGGTAATCCCTACTCACCATTTGTTGGTGACCTGGTTTCATGTACAGTATAGTGTTGAATTCAGTGAGACTGTTTGTTGATTTCCCTTTTGTGTGATGTGATTTATTTTTCCCTTTTCAGAGCTCTACAGGGGAGAATGCAGATTCTCAGCTGATGGCCATGCCAAACACAGACCCCAGCATCAGGTAAGGTAGGACAAATCCTGTCCATCTGGATTAGTGGTGTTTAAATATTCTGTTTGGTTATTACCTTACACTTACCTGTTCTCTCACCCACCTCTGAATACCCCATTGGGCTCTCATAATTTGCCTCAGACTTCCTCTACCTCTACTGGCAAAACTACTGACCCTTATTAAACTAGTGTATTTGAACCTTTCTGTTCACTCTCTGGAGAGACCCTAGTGTTATGGCTCTACTTTCTCCTTTTCCTGTAGGGTTTCTATCAATGACTCTTTGAGTCCTCCTCTCACTCCACTGAGTCCCCTCCTAAGAAGAGAGAACCTTCAGAAAAAAGCATAGGGCCGGTCTTGGTGAGAAGTCCATCCATCAATCCAGTCCCCAAGCTAGGAAGATGCCTGGAGGACTCTCCAGGAATATTCAGTTGCTCAAGAAGGCTACAAAGTGTAGAAGCTCCAATAAGGGAAGGGTTTCTTCTCCTTGAGAGCATTCCAGGGACCCTCAACATGAGAGAGATGGCTTCTATGCTAGAGCCAAGAAAACCTAAAACAGACAAGTATCAGAGGGGTAGCCATGTTAGTCTGAATCTGTAAAAAGCAACAGAGGGTCCTGTGGCACCTTTAAGACTAACAGAAGTATTGGGAGCATAAGCTTTCGTGGGTAAGATGCATCTGAAGAAGTGAGGTTCTTACCCACGAAAGCTTATGCTCCCAATACTTCTGTTAGTCTTAAAGGTGCCACAGGACCCTCTGTTGCTTAAAACAGACAAATAGCTCTCTCATCTCCTACTGATCTTCCCTGCCCACTCTCCTTTGGAGGAAGGGGAGTTTTCAACGTCTCCTCCTTTACAGGATCCAAGACAGCGAGACCAAAAGCAAATTGATAAAAAGAAAACCTGTTTTACTGGACCAAAAAGATATTGTCTCACCCACCTTGTCACTCTAATATCCTGGGACCGATACGGCTACAACAACACTGGGGGGGGGGGGGGAAAAAAAAACAAACGTCCTTTTTAAGAAGGCCTCCAAACCAAACCCAGCCAGCAGAGTTTCTGATTGTAGAAAGAAGGCAGGCTTTCTCCCTTTCCCTTAGGTCAGGGAAGGAGCAGCTTCACCAATTCATAAGGCCCTTAGCTCAGAGCCTTGAGTCTGAGCAGGCAAAGTCTCTAGAACTCATATCAGGTTTATTGATTAAAAGTATAGCCAATTGACTGACTACACTTGTGTTTTGTTATGAAAAATGTTCAAGAGGCCAAATAAGCAAACTTAGCCAATTTTGTTGCTAAAAGTAAACAACAGTACAGTTTAGGAAATAAAGAGTTACTATATTACTGATCGTTCTGGGTAGGTGTTTCTCAGAGAGTGCCAGTTCACATTACACAGAAGGTGTGCTCCCTAAATAGGTCCCCAAACTACCTATATTTACAGTAGACCTCATTACAAGTTAAAAGCACTCTATACGTCACCCAAGACTAATCTTCACCAATCAGCTTGTTAGCTTCTTTTTCTGGTACCATGGCATACCCCTTATCTCTTGTTTTTGAATACAGCATTCCAAACCTGTTGGGCCGTGAAGGCCCTCCTTACCTGTACCAGGTAGAACATAAGAACGGCCAATACTAGTTCAGGCCAATGGTTCATTTAGCCAAGTATCCTGTCTTCCAATAGTGACCCATACCAGATGCTTCAGAGGGACTGAACAGAACAAGCAATCGTCGAGTGATCCATCCTCTTGTTGTCCACCCCCAGCTTCTTGAAGTCAAAAGCTAGGGAAACCCAGGAAATGAGGTTGCATCCCTTACCATCTTGGCTAATAGCCTTCATGAACTTATCTAATTTTTTTTGAACCCCGTTGTGTTTTTGGCTTTCACAACATCCCCAGGCAATGAGTGGCACAGATTGTTGTGTGAAGAAGTACTTCCTTATGTTTGTTTAAAATCTACTGGGTAACCCCTGGTTCTTGTTATGTGAAGGAGTAAATAAAACTTCCTTATTCATTTTCTCCACACCATTCATGATTTTATAGACCTCTGTCATATCCTCCCTTAGTCGTCTTCTTCCAAGCTGAACAGTCCCAGTCTTTTTAATCTCTCCTCTTATGGAAGCTGTTCCATACCCCTACTCATTTTTGTTGTCCTTCTTTTTGTATTTATCAACCTTGAATATCATCTGTCATTTTGTTGCCCATTCACCCATTTTTTGGAAATCCCTTTGTAACTCTTTGAAGTCAGCTTTGGACTTAAATATCTTGAATAAGTCATAGGACTGGACGTGACCTTGAGAGGTCATCTAGTCCAGTCCCCTGCACTCATGGCAGGACTAAATATTATCTAGACCATCCCTGATAGGTGTTTGTCTAACCTGCTCTTAAAAATCTCCAATGATGGAGATTCCACTGTGACACTCTATACCTCGGGGGAGTGTTTTGTAACCCCCATATTCCTCATCAATATATAATTGTGATATTGCATATAAAGCATGCCATGTGAGGTATCAGGGGAAAGGTTATGATCTGCTGAAACCCATTGTCCCATCTAAACATGTGTATCATTAATGCATATAAAATTATAAGAATTGTGTTGTATAGTTTTCACTAAAATATGCTGTGGGTTTGGGAAGCACCCAGATACTAGCTCTCCAGAGACAATGACAAGGGAGGTAACTAAGACACCACCAGCCATTGTCCAGCAGAGGAGTTACAATTCTCACTCACAGGAGACACACTGGAGTATTGCTGAGTCACAAGATGAAGCAATGCCCACCAGACATGCCTGGACTTGTGTTCCCCAAGCACATGGACTAAGGGTATAAAACAGAACACAGTGGCCCCATGCTTCGCCTTTTCTCCTTCCCCACCTATGCTGAAAGCAACAAGGATGCTCAGAAGACTCCAACAGAGGAGACTGGCCCAGGTTTCAAGCGTAACACCTGTGTCCTGTGAACTGCAATATCCGGTGGGGTGAGAAAAACTGCTTAATCTAGATGTTGCTCAGTCTAATAGGGTTGACTGCGTGCTTGTATTTTACTTCTTTTGGTAACTAACTCGGACTTCTTGCCTATCACTTAAAATCTAGCTTTTGTAATCAAGAAACTTCTTTTACTGTTTATCTTTACCAGTGAGTTTGCCTGAAGTGTTTGGTAAATCTGCTCAGGTTTACAAGGGCTGGTGTATGTCCACTTTCCATTGATGAAGTGGTGAACCAATTAATAAATTTGCACTTCTCGTCTTGAGCAGTGCAAGACGGTGTATTCCTGGGATACAAGGTTGGGAGCTGGGGGGATTTGGCTGGTGCCTTTCTCTGTGTGATTCGTGAGTGGCTCTGGGAGCATTCATGCAATCTAGCTGGGTGTGGGGCTCCACATGCGGTTGCGCTAAATGACAACAGCACCTGGAGGGGTTTGCTACTTGTCACTAGCAAAGCATTGTGAGAGACAGCCCAAGCTGGAGAGTTAAGGGGGCACAGCGGTCCCACCGTCCCAGGC